GAAGATCTAGGGAAAGGTTCAATTAACACAGGTCTTGCAGATCAGGGGTTGCTCACCTTCTGGCTTCACAGGTAGCTTTTGGTTCCTTCCAACGGTCTGTCCAGGTTGTTCATATGTGATACAAGATATTCCTTTGTCTTTCAAAGCCGTCAGCCCTGGCTGCATTTGCTCAGTCTCTGTCACCTGTGCAAGGTCTCCAGAAGCTCATGAGTCGTTAGGCTACCTCAGGCTTGGAGCATATCTCTTGTAAGCTGAGCATGGTTGGGTTCGGTCAGTACTTGGATGACAGATGTAAAACCAGGGGGAAAAAAACAAATGTTGCAGGAAATGGTGCTGGTGTTTAAGTAGGTAGCTTAGCTTCCTGCTATGTCTGCACTGAACCAGTGCCCCAGTCCAGAGCCAGGGACCACTCTGCTGCTAAAGGCTGAGATGAGATGGGAAGCCAACAGTCTTGACCTCTTGTGCTCATCTAAGATCCCATCACGTTTTTTTTGTCAGCATAAGGGTGTTAAATGCAGTGTCCTGGCCAAAAGTCAGTTTGGGAAGATTGCCTTCCATCTCCCTGAGGCAGAGTTCCAGCTGGAGAAGTTATCCCCCTGAATAGCAGAATGGCTATTCCAGATATGGGGGGAAGTGGTGCTTGTAGGCACAGTCTGCAATGCGATTTGGGATCTTTTGAGATTACTCGGCATACAGCAGAAGGGTTGGGGAGGCAGCTCTGTGCCTAGCTTGCTGTGTGCATAACAGGTACGTGCATTGAGGAGCAAGGATATCTTTGCCTGGATTCATTCCCCACCCTTTGACATCTTGATCATTAGGAACCAACGCTCAATAGTAAACCGAATCTTGCAATGACTGACTCACAACACAAACTGCTGTGGGAAATGCACAAAAGAGGCCAGGATGTTTCTCGTTGTACATGGAATCCTGGGCTCCAGCTCCATCGAGAAAACTCTTAAGGCTTTAAAACTTCTTTTCAAAGCAAACGGCTCTGTTGTCCCATTGCGAGACTCGGGTCCGTGGGGCTGAGTCCCGTCGCTACTACATTTGTATTGGGATACAAAGCCCCCTTCCCTGCCCCAAAAGGTTGTTTTTTCTGTGCGGTGTTGTGAATAAAATCAAGCAATGCTGAATGGCTTCTATATAGAGCCTCATGCACCTGATAGAGAGGCCAAGAACTCTGATCTGGTGCTTTTTAGTGGAGATTATTCTGGTCCTGTCAGAGGTGAGGGAAATGTGTTGCTTGCAGGGCATGGTTCTGTCAATTGTCTAATAAATTTCACTGAGATGGAGCTAAGCTGCTTGTTTTGGCAAAGTCTAAACTGCTGTGTTTTGAAGTCGAACACAAAATCTGTCCGGTCTAATGAGATTGGAGAATTATTACCGTAGAAGTTTAGAAATTCAAAAAGAAAACAGAAGAGTACAACACAGAACTGGATCTTAAGGAAATGCAACAATTTGACAAAATGCCAAAGCTCATTAGTAAGAATGTCAAGATTTGGAAGATAATGATGACAGGAAAATAAAAGGGTACATTGCAATTAGTGACGAGCTTCTTTGCCTTGGTGGGGATGTAGCGGATGGATGAAAGCAGCAGAGCCGGCATGCTTTGAGGGGACGCTTCGCTTTGCTCCTGTTCAGGCGGCTCTGGGTCTGTCCAGGAGTCAGTGGGGCCATCAGAGGGTGTGCCGGGGGCAACAACCAGCCTCTCCCAAGACATAGCATCACTCCTGCCTTCAGTGCTGCAATATGCAGCCAGAGGTAGATGGGGAGGAAGGAGCTCAGAAGAGAGACGAGTTTTCTCTCTTTTCTTTGATTTCATTGAATCCATTTTAACAGGATCTATTTCAAAAGGCAAAGGGTAAACAATAAAAAGCCAAGTGCTTCCTCATTACCTACAAGCCCAAATCAGCAACAGCAGGCAGCATATTAGAGGCGTCCAGACAGTCCCGGCCCCACCCCCCCCGCCCTCTGCTTCTGAGCAGGCCAGTGGCGGGGGCTTCGTGGGCCCGGGCGTCTGCGGGAGAAAACGAGATGATCCTTCTGCTTTGGTGCTGCATGCTGTGGCGCCCAGCCCCAGCCCCTCCGGGCAGTAACAGGAATACTCAGCCCCCTGCATCTTCCAAGCCCTTTCCAAACGTCAGCCCTCACGAGCTCCCTTGGGAGGCAGAGAGCAAGCATCCTTAGCTTCATTTTGCAGATGGGAAAGCTGAGGCCGTGAAGGTCAGTGACTTGCCCCAAGGCCACGTAGGGAGTCTGGATGAGGACCCGCGAGTTCCTTGCTCCCAACCCCTTGTTCTGTCCTCCAGACAATACATTTATTATTGAAGGCTGCAAATGATTCTTTGCCCCCTTTCATCCTCCTGCAACTCCCTACCTGCATTTTCTCTCTCTTGCCAGTAACACCTTACATCATTAAGACAGAGAGCGCCCTGAAACCAAATCCTGTTTGTTCGGTAGCTAGACTCTCACCCAGCTTGGATCGTGTCGTCTATGTCACTTTCTGGATCCCTGCAGTAAATCCCACAAGGACATCTCTCGGTGTGGATGGTTCTCTCTAGCCAGAGCTGGAGTCTGCATTTTGTGCTGCACTGAAAACTCACCTACCCTGCTGGAAATGGAGCTCCAGTTCTCTGGGAGCTGGTTTCTAGTGGCACTGCTGTAAGAGCAAACAGAAACTGCCCCTTCCCACTGCATTGTGCTGAATGCTGGAGCAATTCTTGCCCGCTTGCTGGGGGCTGCCATCCTGCTGAAAACCAGGCCTGGCATATGACCTTGGTGATGCAAAGGGAGGTTAGTGTCTGAGCCTAGAGACCCCTTTGCATGATCCGCCTCTGATCCTGCGCTAACCATCCAAACGGCTTTCCTGTTTAATACCCCGCCAGGGTTGCGAAATAATAGCAGTGCACTCTTTTGAACACCAAAGCTCTTCTTCTGATGGCCAAAACAGTTGTGCGGCAGGCTGGAGATGAGGTTCCAGGCTCTGTGCGCGGGCTCTTCCTGCTGGCAGTGTCCACAGTGACGCATCCAGGAGAGAGCTCTTTACGCTGACACCTAGATGAAGTAATGAAGATACTGCTGTTAATTCTAGGCTCTGTGGAAATGACCCCAGCCCCGATCAATTTACAAAACCCGAATTTTGAGCCTAAACGGCCCGACTCATATTATTTGAGCCTTAAGCGCCGAAGAGCTGTGTGCATGATGTGTGCTTGATTCGAACAAGCCTCCTCTTTGTTTGAAAGTGCTGTAGCCATGAACCTGGGACTCAGGTCCTGCAAATACTTCCTATCAGCTTAGTGCTGAATGCCGTTCCAGACGTGCACCCTCTGGCCTGCTCCTAGGGGTAAGCGTTACGCCTTGTAGTAAGCTTTTGCAAGGGTTGGGCCCCCTTTTATGACCTAGCATCCATCAGAACCTGCACTGTGACAAAACTGAAGGTGTCAGATACCACCAAATACTGTTGCTGAAGACTTGTGACCGAAGACTTGTCCGTGGCTGAGCAATGCTAATTCCCTTTGAAGCCAACGAGAGCGGAGTACCGGCCTCGTTGCTGTGTCGCCCCTAGAACGCCACAATGGAAGCAGAGCAGCTTCCTAAGAATCCCTGACCCCGCAGCAGAGTGGCTGGTGAGAGAGATTGAGACCGGGCCCGGTGCATGCTACGCTGGTACTGGGCAAATGCGCAGCAGTATGCCATAGCAAATGGATTCAGGTCAGAACATATAACTGCACCAAAAATTAGTTCTCTGTTTTGCGTTTACTCTTTAACTTGGCCCACTCAAAAATCCCTCAGTCCCTGATTTCCAGCTACCACGCCGGGCTGCTGGGTAAGAATCCCTTTGCTTCCTCTAAAGTACGAACGTTTATCTCTGGCTGCAAGCTGACTTTCCAGGTCCCATTATTTAATCCAAATTTAAATATTAGTATCAAGTGCTGCTGTTCGTTCTGCCTGTCTTCTACCTGCAATGATCCTGTCCTGTTATCGGTTTCCCAAACAGCCAGCTGGGAGCTGACCAGCCATTTGGCAAGTCTGCATCTCCAGGATTTAAAGACACCTGCACTTTGCAGACCTTGTAGAGCAGCTTTTTCCCCCTGCTCTGTGTCATCACAGTCACCCCCAAAGTGTCGCAAACTGATTTCTGGTGGGAGGAGTGTGCAGCAGGGCAGGGGGTGTCGGCAGAAACAAAGTGTCTTTTCATACAAACAGGAACGGTGATTCGATGGATAATCGTGATAATTACTAATAAGTGGGAAGAGAAACACAGGGGAAACAATTTGGGGACTAGTTTTTAAGCCCATCCTCCGATTTGGTGTCTGCAGTGCCTTCCACTTGAGTTTGCACACCAGTTACACGAGCACAGACAGCCGTTTGCACATGTGACTTGGGCAGCAGCATGTACACAACGGGGTCCATGAAGATGGAAACCAGGGCTGACACTTTGAGACTTGTCTTTCAAGGATCTGCATGAGGCATTAGCAGCTAGTTAAGTGCTGGCCTGGTAGGCAACTAATGCTACGGTAAGGCTATGTTTACACTACACAGCTACAGCCGTGTGGCTAAACGTTGTGCAGTATAGCCGCTGTTTGTCGGCTCTCCTGCTGACAAAAAGCTCCCACCCCCAAAGAGCGGCGTTAGCTTTGTCAACAGGAGAGCGCTCCTGCCAGCAAAGCACTGTTCACACTGGGGCTTGTCGTCTGCAAAACTTTTGTCTTTCGGGGTGTGTGTTTGTGGTTTTTTTAGCACCTCTGAAAGACAAAAGTTTTGTTGTTCAATTGTCAGTGTAGACAAAGCCTAACTTGGGACAGCTATGTTAACAGCTGGACGTGAGTCAGGCAATAAACAGAAACTTGAGCGAGGCCACATGTCCTTGTATCCCATAGGCTGATGGAGCTGCTTGGCCAATGCTCTCCCATGGGGTCAAACACAATTCCCATACTTTGTGTGTCTGTGAACCTGGCTGTGTAACATCTCGCTTTCCTCCCTCTTTGTGTCGTCTCCAGAAGAAGAGGATGGAGTGCTGGAAGGGCTGGAGGAATTTTATCCAGAGGAGCAGGTGACTGCGCAGAAGAAAAAGAAATCCAAAAAGCTGAAAGAAAACAAGACATCCAAAGTCAAGAGAAGGAAGAAAGAGGTAACGTCTCCCGCTCTCAAGTGAGGCTGGCAGGCAGCTGTTGGACTCTGTGTACAGGCTGTATGCTTGGGATAATGCTGCTGGCCTCCCTTGTGGAGAAGTCGGTGGTCTAGGGATGGAAAAGGACTAGATAAGAGTTAGGTATTTACTAAGGGGAACTAATTTGATGTGTGACGGGGGACCTGTTTCTTAGACTTGGGTGATGCCACAGCTGAGCCTGCAGATTGGCAGTCACTCCCCTGAGTGCCTGGAGAGGCTGAGTGATATAGTGAACTGGCACACAGGGCTGGGAGCAATGCCTGCATAATTCATATCCTGGCGCTGACAGCGACTCACTATGGCCTTGGGTGAATCACTTAACTTCTCTACCTCAGTGACCCCACTGGTTAAATGATAATGGTACTTGCCCACTTCCGAGAGTCTGTGACGGTTAATTAGCCAGTGTTTAGAGCGGGCTTTGGAATGTGAAGGTTTGAGTATTATTATTTATTAAGGGTTCATTAGTGAGTGATGCTCCCTGGCCTTTGTTAGGCAGGAGGTCCGACTCCGTGATTACAAGGATCCCTGGAAAGCCTGACGCTAAGCGCTGGAGTTTCAGGTGTGGATTTAAACACTCTAATTTACATGCCCAAGGTTGAAAACTGAGATTACAAATGTTGTCTCTTCCTTCACCTGGTCTCCACTAGTGCTGCATGTGTCTGAAAGTGGGGGTGGGGGGGCGCTCCTTTGCATAGAATTACCCAGAATGCTCCTCGTTAGCTGCTGTAGGGGTTGAGCTCTGGAGATGCACAGAGGTGAGTTGGTGGCTGGTGTAACCCCTCCTCTGCTTAAATAACTTCCACAACAGGAAGATGCTAGGTTCAAATTTGTGGGTTTTGGTTCTGAGACATGGATGGGCTTAGTCTGTCTAAATGGCTAGGACGATTTATGTGACCAAAGGGAGAAACGAACACCATATGGGTGTAAAGAGTGAACCTGGGGAAATCCAGAGAGACCGAGTTCTGAAAATATCGGTAAGAAGAGTTCAGTCGACTCGGGCTAGTTTGGAGGGACCCTTATTGACGCGTTCAGTGGCTTTGGAATGGGACCGGTCCGGTGTGTTCTCCCCTGGAGCGATTTCTGGGCAGAAGGGTGGGGGTTTGGCGCTGCAGCAGTCGGTGGTTTTCCAAGGCCAAGTTTGCCTGCTCCTCATGTGGTCGCTTGGTCTGGGCGCTGTCCTAAATGAGGCCTGTGGCAGAGCATGGAGCGTGTTGGATGGAGGAAGCTGTATGGCTCAGAGAGGGCTGTGCTAAGGGCTTCTCATGCAGAGAACTGTGGAGGTGGGGAAGGTGGGCGAGGGGAGGAGCCAAGACTGGGACCTCATGTTTTTTCAAAGAAAATAATGTAAAACGGAATCTTTTTATAAACGCTTTCTTGGCTGCACTTCGTGCTCATGCCACTGGGAGGGCAAGATTCACCAGTGCACGCTGGCTACTTTCACTGCTCCGTCGATGCCAAGTCGCTTGTCAACCTGGGTTGACTAGCCAGTTAAGGTGGGGTTCTGGCTGCCTGGCATTGTGGAGCAGTGCCAAGCATCCAGAGGGTACTGGCCCTGGCCCTGGCCATGGATCTGGGGAGACTCTGTCCAGAGCCGTGTAGAGCAGGAAGCCTTCTTCTAGCCTCCCTTCCTCCTCCCAAAACTCAGTGCTCACTGCTTGCCCCTCCAAATGCTTTGTTGTAAGGACTGTGGAAAGGGCTCTCTGCCCTGCCAGGTCCCAGGGACCATAGTTTGTACTTTAATGTTCTAAATCCCAAGCCCTGCACTTTGAATTCAAGGGGCAGCAGATTAGTCTGCTTTTAATTAGCTCTGCCTGGTGTGGTTAGTTAATTTCTCATTTGGAAGCTAAATCTTTCTACAGAAGTAGGCACAGCTGGAGACAGGTACTAATTTGGGCAAACACTGATCTAGTTCTGCCAGTAGTTTAGTTTTTCTTGAGTCCTAAAGGTTTCCACTTTGAGGGTGGATTGCAAAGAGAGAGAAGGGCGCAAACAACTATGAATTAGTGAGAAGACACACAGGGTGGAAGGGGTGAGACTTTCCTTCCTAGTTGATCATTTGCAAGGATGATTGCATTTTAAAGCTTACCAGCTGCATTCGTACCCCTGGGTGTTGTGCCGTGATTGCAGATTCTGTCACCAAATACAATGTTTTGTTATGCAACTGTGATACAGTGAAAGACAAGGGCATTAATCACTGTTCTAAAACTTTCCTATTTCTATTCCCCAATGTTTTGAAATTCTGTTTATTCTAATATGTTCTTTTTAATGCTGGAAATATGTCTGATAAATGTGATTGCCAGTCTTTAATCTTGTGAGTTGTATGTGACAGGCAGTGAATAATCTCACACTTCACATTCTGATCCTATATCCCACACTTTATATATCAGATATTGAGCTGGCAATTAGGCCTTTTAAATGGAGTGAGTTGTAAGCGTGAGAAGCGTGTCTTCTGGCATCTCACATACAGAGGCGTTAAAAGAAGGCAGAACCAATAGGAAATGGAGGTTTTGTCAAACAGGCTTTTGCATTCGTGAGTTTGGGATTTATAGTATCCCAGTTAAAGACCCATTAGATAATTATTACAAACGATGATTATCAGACACCCCACCAGACCACATGCAGCAGTACAGTGCGCTGATATGTATAATAATAATAATATCTGTGTTAGGATGATCTCCTTATCTGGTTAGTAAACCCCTCCTGCCAGGGATGCACACACTGCAATGCAGCACCTCGTTGACGGTTTGTCCCCGGTGGCAGACAGTAAATCTTTGTGGCACATACTGTACCAATACTGTTATCTAGGGACTATCTCTCTTAGGGATGAAATGCAAAGCGACATGTTGGGAATGTAACCAATGTGATGCTGTTTGGAGAAAACAGCATGGTTTTGAGGTTTCTGTGGAGACAGGATATCGAATGACAGACTGTCCATTTCCAGGGTGTCTCACAGGCAAGAAGTGGGGCTGGGCAGGATGTGCTGGCTTCTCAGGATGTGACATTTGGAAGGATTTGGGAAGTGTTTGGTTTCTTTAAAAAAAAAAAAAAAAGATTCTCAGTGAATTACTGTCCCAGTGAATTCCCCTCATGCAGCTCCCAGAGGATCCACTCTACTCCCAGAGCCCTACGCTGCAGCGTCACTCCTGGCCCCGAGGGATGCTTCCCCTCTGCTCCCTGGGCTGTGTGCTGCCCCTCAGGCCACGGCCACACTACAGACTTAAGTCGACTTCATGTAAGTTGACATCAAGCCTCCAATTTAAGCAAGTCGATCTTGCGTGTCCACACTAAGCTCGTTGTGTCGGCAGGTCTTGCACTGACCCATGGAGCACTGCACTGTGGGTAGCTATCCCACAGTGCACATAGGCAAGTGGAATTTTGGGTTGGGCTTGCAATGCCTTATGGGACCAAAACATTGGTGCAGGTGGTTATGGGAATATGGCGTTTACAGCCTCCCATGGTGCACTTACCTCCCTCCCTCCCTGAAAACAGCAGCAAACAAACCAAGCCTTTTTCATGCCCTTTTTCATAAGCATGAGTTAGATGCCATAGCACGATAGGCATGGACTCTGCTCAGCTCTACGCTGCCGTTATGAGCATTACAAACACCTCGGGCCTTATCCTGCAGTATGTACGCAGGCGATAGAGGAGCCACCGCACTGAACAGTGCGATGCCACACACGAAGCCCTGCTGGAAGACACGGAGCGGAGCAATTCCTAGTTACTGGCAACAGCCACGCATCGCCTTGACCCCCTGGAGCACCGTTTCTGGGCCTGGGAAACAAGCACCGACTGGTGGGACCGCATCGTTATGCACCTATGGGATGACGGGCAGTGGCTGCAGAACTTTCGAATGCGTAAGGCCATTTTCCAGGAACTGTGTGAAGAGCTTTCCCTAGTCCTGAAGCGGAGCCATATGAAAATGAGAGCTGATCTGACAGTGGAGAAGTGAGTGGCAATAGCTCTGTGGAAGCTTGCAACGCCAGACGGCTACCAGTCAGTGGGGCGTCAATTTGGAGTGGGTAACTCTACCGTGTGATCTATTGTGATCCAAGTTTGCAGGGCCATTAACAGACTTCTACTAAGAATCATAGAATATCAGGGTTGGAAGGGACCTCAGGAGGTCATCTAGTCCAACCCCCTGCTCAAAGCAGGACCAATCCCCAACTAAATCATCCCAGCCAGGGCTTTGTCAAGCCTGACCTTAAAAACTTCTGAGGAAGAAGATTCCACCGCTTCCCTAGGGAAAGCATTCCAGTATTTCACCACCCTCCTAGTGAAAAAGTTTTTCCTAGTATCCAACCTAAACCTCCCCCACTGCAACTTGAGACCATTATTCCTCGTTCTGTCTTCTGCTACCACTGAGAACAGTCTAGAGCCATCCTCTTTGGAACCCCTTTCAGGTAATTGAAATCAGCTATCAAATCCCCCCTCATTCTTCTCTTCCGCAGACTAAACAATCCCAGTTCCCTCAGCCTCTCCTCATAAGTCATGTGTTCCAGCCAGGTCTTCCCCCAGTCCTGCCCACTGCCCCGCAGTGATTGACCTCTCTGCTGGCTGCCCTGGGAACCCGAAACATATTGCTGAGGAGGGTCATATGACCACTCTTGTGGCTTCCCTGTGCTTCCCCATCAAAGTCATTTTTCTGTGGGGAAGCAAAGAAATCTGCCGGGGACATAAATGCTGCGCGTGCGCAGTGATGCAGAATTCCCCCAGGAGTAATAGAAGTGGCATGTCTGTGGGGCAGAACCAGAACGACTGTTCGCCTCCCTTGTTTTCTGGTATGCTTGCTGAAGCTCCTTTTATATTCATGCGGCACTGCTGTGCGTCCCTGCTGTCGCCCTTCTCCCCCCCGTGCCCCGCGCAATTTTGGCATAGATGTCAGCATTTCTTCTGCTGGATTGGAGCTCTGCCTGCATTGACTCTTCTCCCCACACAGCAATCAGATCCACCACCTCCTGTGT